GGTGGATGGAATGGTCTTTGGGTCTTTGTTTAGAGAACGAGCTGTCTATCAACTACTTCAAAATAGAAAATGGGAATATGGTCCACGAGAACTGTGTCACTTCCGGTAATTAGCGATTCTTTCTAACCAGAAAAAAACACATAAATTCTAAATTGAGAAAATCTTGGGAAATTTTCGAGCAGCTTTTTTGTTGCATGGAGAAATATTAAAGAAATTTTTACAACATACGTCAGACTTAAAATAACGTATGCAGCTGTGGCATTGCAACTGATCTTAAAATAACATAGAAACAAAACATAAAAAGATACACGAGCTTCGATAAAAGATTAAAAGCTCTGAACTGCGCCAAATGGAAGAGAATAGACGGGAAAACCATCTCTGTAAGAAAAAATACAGAGGCTAAGTATTTTCTAAGAACAGAAATAAGAGAATTAGTGAGATTACCACGAATTATCAGTCTCCGTGGTGCAGTGGTAAGACACTCGCCTGGCGTTCCGCGAGCGCTTTGTCATGGGTTCGTATCCTGGCCGGGGAGGATTTACTGGGCGCAAATCCTTAACTGTAGCCTCTGTTTAACTCAACAGTAAAATGTGTACTTGGTTGTAACAACGATTCTTCGCGGCGGGGATCGTATTCCAGGGACCTGCCCGAAACGCTACGCGTACTAGTGGCTCTACAAGAATGTAACAACTCTTGTATATATCTGAAAAAAAACTCCAGACTAATTTCTGGAGATAGACAAGGACAGGCAATTAGTTCAAGTGGTACTCAAACAAGGGGGACCCAAGTGGAAACTGAGTCCCCAAGATGAGCCACAGAGACATGATAATTTTATCTAAAGTTGATGAGTAATGAGATATGATATAGAGCACAACAGGCTAGGTGATCAAAGTAACCAGTTGATTGAAAGTTGAGAAGTGAGATTTATTATCAGAGAAAATGGCAAGCACAATCAGGTAAGTACAAATACACTCGCTCGTGCGTATGCGCACGTATGTGTGTGCATTTGTGCGTGTGCACACACAAACATATATATACACACACCTGTCACATGCAGTAGTTGCCTCCCTGTATAACACAATGAAGCTCTCTGCGTCACATATGTAAACAAACATTTTTCCGGGTTGTGTAATGTGGGAATGAATTGAACTCCACAACTCGATGGAAGGATATATTATTTATGCCGGAAAAGGCATTATTACTCCCCTCCCATACCCCACCCGCCCTCTATTCCACTCACCGATTCCCCTTCCACATCTACAGGGAAAGGAAGCTAGAAGGGAGATGCGAACCGATGATAGCGACCGAGAAGAAGAAGAAGGGAAATAAGTCGACTCTCAAAGACAGGAATCAGTAAGAGTCTTCCAAAGAGAAAATATATCGACAGTGAAAAAAGTACTCAAAAGCCATAATGGCTTTCGTAAGAGATCGAAAAAGTGCTTAGAATCAACATGAGAGTTCGGAAGACCGTGTAGATAGATAAAGATATCAGACAGTGTGGCATTTATACACGAATGTATAAGTGGAAATGGATATCAGATGGAAAAATAAAGGGAGGGAGATACGGAACATTTTCAAGAAGTAACCGAGCTTTTGGCGTTAGAATAACCCTTAGAGGGTTCAGTGTGTGTATAACTATGTATGTAAACAATGTTTGTGGATTGGCCCCCAATCTCCATCTGGGGAGGTGGCCCCCCCATCACCGTCTGGGGACGTGGCCCTCCAATCACCGTCTGGGGACGTGGCCCTCCAATCACCGTCTGGGGACGTGGCCCCCCAATCACCGTCTGGGAACGGGCCCTCCAATCACCGTCTGGGAAGGTGGCCCCCAATCACCGTCTGGGGAGGTGGGCCACCAATCTCTGTCTGGGGACGTGGCCCCCCAATCTCCATCTGGGGAGGTGGCCCCCCCATCACCGTCTGGGGACGTGGCCCTCCAATCACCGTCTGGGGACGTGGCCCTCCAATCACCGTCTGGGGACGTGGCCCCCCAATCACCGTCTGGGAACGGGCCCTCCAATCACCGTCTGGGAAGGTGGCCCCCAATCACCGTCTGGGGAGGTGGGCCACCAATCTCTGTCTGGGGACGTGGCCCTCCAATCACCGTCTGGGGAGGTGGCCCCCAATCTCCGTCTGGGGACGTGGCCCCCCCAATCACCGTCTGCGGAGGTGGCCCCCCAATCTCCATCTGGGAAGGTGGCCCTCCAATCACCGTCTGGGGACGTGGCCCTCCAATCACCATCTGGGGACGTTGCTCACCAATCTCCATCTGGGAACGTGGCCCCCCAATCTTCATCTAAGGGTTACCTTACCTTGAGGTTACCTTGAGGTGCTTCCGGGGCTTAGCGTCCCCGCGGCCCGGTCGTCGACCAGGCCTCCTGGTTGCTGGACTGATCAACCAGGCTGTTGGATTCGGCTGCTCGCAGCCTGACTGGGTGACTTAGAAACTTGTAAGGAATGGCATATAAAACCAAAAATCCATCCTCGAACGAGGGGAAAG